ATATGTCTTTTTAATATAGTCTGGAAGCTTAACCCTTGAAGCATTATACTTAAAAATTTGATATATCCTCAAAAGTTTGTAGGGTAGATACACAACCTGTCCCCTACAATAGCCTTGAAAGGAAACTCCCCTCTGTGTTGTGAGCCCATGTAAAAATTACTAAATTTTCAGAGACTGACTTTCGAATTGAAAGTTAGTGCAGACAAATTATTCTGAAGATACATAAGAGCATACGATTTGTTGTTAAGCACTACAACTAAACTCTGACCACAAGACTTTGATGCTATTTCTTAATAACCTTTTCATGTAAAATGGTCTAGTCACAGTTCACAATACTTTCTTTTGTTAGAAGGATTGTCACGATGCAACGGCGGCAGTTAGGACAGCTATGGAGCAGTTACTAGGTGCCAGGTACAATTCTAAATGCCTTATTTAATACTAGCAACCACAATGAGGGAGGCATTATTACTATTTCTATTTTACAGAAACTGAAAATGAAGTAGAATGAAAGGTCTCCTGTTTCATGGTGTTCTATATTCAGAGGATCTCTGCTCCAGAGAGAACTTCATACCTTAGGATGAAATCTAAACTCCATAGTATGAATTGTCTTTAAAGGTCTGGTCCCTTCCTACTTGCTCTTTCAGCCTCATTAGTCTATTAGCACCCACCCTCTCCCTCCGCTTCACTCTTCACACCAATTTTACTGAACTGATTAACATATGTGTCCCTGCTGTCATGAATGCCCTTTCCTTGGCACTTAAGCAGACAAGACCTACTTATTCATCCTTTAAAACTCAGGTCCTCTCTGAAAAGCCTTTGCGGATATTCTAGTAAGATTTATTGCTGCACCTCTGCATGTATTCTTGTTATGAAATGGATCCTATTGTAATATACTGAATCATTCATCTGTTTTTCCCCCAGGTCTTTAATCTCCAAGATATTAAACATGTTATTTGTTTTGGTATCACAAGTGCTTAACACAGGGCCAAGTAAGTACTGGATACTAAAAAATCCTGCATCTTTTGAATGAATGACCAAATCTTAAGTGATAACCTTGTGCGTTCTCCTCTCTACCATCCTTGCCAAAGTTTGCAAAATAGCCATTCTATGTAATTTCATAATATTCAAAGTTGCTAGAATGAGTACTAGACAAGGAGTTATATGATTTAGGTTCTTGTACTGTGACGGACGTTTCATCCTTTAATAACCTGGGACATAGATTCACGCAAAAACAGTTTTTTCTACACTGGCATGTGCCAGGAACTGTATGCCACAGTGGAGATTTGGCAGTGGATAAAATGGAAAGCAACAACCCCTTTTTGTAGTAGAACATACACTACATAACACCTAGACCTCAGGGTTCTCTTTATAAAAACAAAGACTTGAACTAAGGTCCTCTCAGGTCTAAAAAAAATAAGCCAAACCCCAGAATTCCTTAAAATTACTTAAAAATGATACATTAATGTAAATATATAAATGTATAGATCACACCAGGCAAATCATTTCATAACCAGCCTCTCATGTAATAATCTATGAGTATTAAATTTTCCTTCAGAAAACATCTTATAAAGTAATACTCTGGCATCTTTTAAAGATTAACTCTAATTTGATATGATACAAAATGCTGTAATTCCTCTCTAGTGAATCTACAAAAAACAAAAGGAAAAAACCATTTCTGGACCATTAACAGTGATTACGAAGAAATTTTGTCTTCAGGGAAAATGAATATATTTTATACATCTCATGGTAACCAAAAAAAAAAATAAATGAATAAATAAAAAACAATGTGTTCTGTAGTCAGATTTTATTTGTGTGATTAATTTTTTGGATTCATGGTAATTGGACCAAAATAAGGTAAAACATGATTAGTGAACAAATTAAAGTAAAAACTAAATTAGCCTACATTCCCAGCTGCTTCACTATAAAGTTAGGTAAGGAAGAGATAAGTATTTAATTTGTGTCCTAATTTCAGCTGGAGAATATTTTAAATGAACAAGTGGCTCAGAGCCCATAGCTAAGTGGTTAGGGCACCGGCCTCATGCACTGGGGCTGGTGGGTTCAAACCTGGCCAGGTCCTGCTACATAACAATGACAACAACAACAACAACAACAACAACAAAATAGCCAGGCGTTATGCCGGTGCCTGTATTCCCAGCTACTTGGGAGGCTGAGGCAAAAGAATAGCTTAAGCCCAAGAGTTTGAGGTTGCAGCAAGCTGTGATGCCACGGCACTCTACCAAGGGCAACATAGTGAGACTGTCTCAAAAAAAAAAAAAAAAAAAGAAAGAAAGAAAATGAACAAGTGATGCAAGTCTTTTTAGGGCAAGAGAAAACCCTAGTAGCCAAGCCTGTAAGCCAAATAGTTACAGACATAACTAGCATATTACCTTTTAAATCATATTCTAAGTGGTATTTGGACAAGAAATCTAGTTCTCTAAAGATAAATGTTCAGTTATTCCTATCCTAACTGAGTACACCATAGTAATTCCTTAACATGCCACGATCATAGGATATACTTTCTGGCATATTCTCAAGCCAGTTGACATTGGACAGCTGTAATTGGTGGTTTATGTGAATGCTGAGCTATTATAAGAAGAAAAATATTTATATATGGAGCACACATTATTGGCATTGTTCTGTCACAAAAGTCATAAATTATAGAGCCTGAAATAGACTTTGAAGTTACATGGTGAGCTTTCTTATATTGTAGGGGAGAAAACTGAGACCCAGGTAGGTGAAGAAAGTGATTGCAAAGCTGATAGTTGATTAGGGATGGAACCATGAGGACAGGAGAGGGCTGCTGCCTCCAACCCAGTGTGCTTCCTACCACGGCATCAACCACTGCTTTCTGTGGGGTGGAATTCCAGCTCACAACTTCCCTTACATTACATTGACCCACACCCCTAGGACTAAGAGTATGAGTAAGGGGTGACATCAAGGCAGTCCATGTGGTTGGCTCCTTTTTTTCTTGGCTAATAAATATGTCTGTATGTTTGTGGACAGAACAATAGCTAGGTTGTATCTCTGCAACAGGTTTGGCATACTGGAAATGAAACAAAAAACATTCCTCATGTAACTAAATTTGAGAGCGTGAATAAGCTAAATTTCCCCATCTGGAGACTCTCAGACTAGACAAGCCTCACAAATTAATATGAGTATATAGGTCTGGGGCCTGAAGGAAATTAGGTCAGGTCTAAAAAGGAATCAGGTGCTGACTACAAGTCAGAATTTTAATATGGATTCAAAATAGAAGGCAGTGATCTAATGCTGTAATTCACTGAACACCATTAAGATGATGCTTTAATATGGGATAAGGAAGTCCTCTAGAGAAAGTTTTAGATGGCAAAATATTGACGAGTGGAAAAGGTTTCAATCCATATACAATCCATATCTTTTAACCAATATTTCTTTCTCTCTGTTTCTTTTTCATTTGATTTCATTTGTATCTAATATACAGAGGGTGCCAAAAAAAATCCATACATATTTTAAAAAGATTAAAATTACAATACTCAATATGTATTGATAACAAAAGATTACAGGTGGCGTTTGAGTACCCATTATAGCTGCAGAACTTAACTATGACTTGAGAACTACAGATTTAATGGTTTTTTACTTGACTATGACTTGAGAACTACAGATCTAGTAGTTTTTTCCTTTCTTAAAATGTATATGCGTTTTTTGGCACCTGCTGTATTTTAGCTTTCAGTCTACAGTTTTATATCTCTCCTCCCCTTGTTTCTGAGACTTGAGATCCACAATAAGGCAAAGAAAAAGTGCTTTGAAAAAGAAGGCGATAAAACCATTCTGAGATGAAATTTATGAGCATGTATCTGTTGCTTTGTGTAGCTCAGGAATAAAGGTGAGAAGTGTAGGGGCATTTTAAAGAAACTGGACCTGCCATGCTCCAGCAATGGCCTATGAAGTCTTTATATATGTGTCCTATGGTAAGAGCGTGGCATTTATGAAAGCCAACATAGGGATGTTCCATGTTCCAACTGCATTTAGACACTAAGTGCTGATATGAAAAATTGGGGCTTTAAATTTTTTTTTTTTCCTAAGAGTCTCCTCTGACTTTATTCCTGTGCAAAGGTCTAAGGTTGTTTCAAAAGTTTTAAGAATGATTTTTGATGGAGAAGGTAAGTGAAGAATTTTCTAGCCAACTAAGAAGCAGATTCTTTTGACTAAATGCTAGATTAAGAGAAAAACATTCTACCTAGGGTACTATGACAGTACTTTAATGGGGATGACTGTGAGGAGAATGCAGATATTTTAGGACAGGGTTACAGTCTTGGGAATTTTCATTTTCTATAAATTTCTTGTGGTTGACATAAGTTTAAAAATGTGCTCATGTGCAGTGTTTCAGATTCATTTATGCAGGCTTATGTAAGAGTTAGAAAATCTCTCTTGAACTCCCATGCATGATGGGGACACAAACTTTTAAAATTATGTCAGTAAATATTCAATCCTTTCTACCATCGCAAATTCTCAAAGTGTGTGAAATGTGGAGAGTGTGACAATAAGATAGCTTTGTCGCACTTTCTTTTTTTTTCTTTAAATGGAAGGATGTTGGGGACATCTTTTCTATTAGTATTATACAGTACCTCAAATGCAAGTTATCTTTTCCTTAGGATTTAAAGTACTGCAGTGTGGGGCCCTGGGCCAGTTACCCAGTGATTTGCTATTATGATCCCCACCTTCATAATAGGCCAAGATAAGATCACAGGTTATTTATCTAACGATTTCTATGGCTTTGCCAGTCATTTTGAACAGTCACTTTAACTTGAAAGTTAAGCTCACCAATCTTAGGGAAAAAATATAAGGTAGTTAGAGAAAACATTTTCGAAAGAAACTACTGATATTATGAATCCAAATAAATAAATGAAACAAATTGACAGTAAGAAGGAATATATTTATAGACTCATTTCTCACCGCCTCCAAATTCTAGGAAATCTTCCTTTGCAAGTTAAAAAACAGAAAATGTGACAAGCATAAACCCTTACCAACTTCCCACTTCAGAAGGCTGTTGTCTTCTCTCTCCATCTTTCCGATGACATACCAAATACACGCCATCCAGTGTGCAAGGAGGGCGAACATGGACATGAGCAGAGTCAGGACGATTGTGCTATGTTGGGAGTAACGGTCCAGCTTCTGCAGGAGACGCAAAAGACGCAGCAGCCGTACCGTCTTTAGAAGATGCACAAGGGACACCTGTACCAGGAGACAGGGCAGTATAACTTGGTACAGAGGTGTCCAACCTACAGCCCATGGGCCACATGCTGATTTTGTGGAGACATTTTTGCTTATCTGTGGCATCAGCTATCACAAAAAGTATACACAGACCTTGTTTTTGCTAATCAGATTTCATTAGTGTTTATGTATTTAATGTGTGGCCCGAGGTAACTCTTATTCTTCCCAATGTGTGGCAGAAAAGAAAAAAAGCTGGACACCCCTGACTTGGTGCATGAATTAAATTCATGCTGCACCATTTACTTTAACTTTATCCACTCTGAAAAGTCCTTCAAATTAAGTATAGTGATTTAAAGACCACGGTCATTTTAATGACTATTTTCTTAGTTTTTGATGTATTATATCAGGAGGTGACAGGATAAAGGAGGCCAGGATAAAGGACAGAATGAAGAGGATAATTTCTTTGAGTAAATAATTACCTTCTTTAATTAGGATTTATCTTTTTCTCTGATTTCATACAGTTTCATACATTCTGATAGGATTACACATAAGATGTCTCCACCCCCTTACACACATTTTCTTTTACCCTTCGTCCCCTTCTGCAAGTAAGGGAGCTGCTTTATAACATTGTAATCCATATAAATTGGACTAAAAGCTTAGAAATAAAAATAACTTAAAATTTATTTTTTAAAATAAAAAGAACTATCAAATTGGAGTAAGTTTTACTCATAAATACCAGTAGTACTTCCCACCTCATGTGCTACACTACTTTTTATCTAATATTATCAATGGACAGAGAACACATTTGCCCAAAGAATAAACATTCTGAGCTTGCTCTCAAACGTGCTTAGGAAACTGAAATAACACCAAACATTTTGGAAAATCTCTTGGGTACTGCCTGAGCATGTGCTAAAACAGCAGACCTGAAGCTAAGGGGTTATTTTCCTGACATCAGGGTCCAACTGAAAAATGTGCATCACTGGTGTCCAAGGGACACAACATCAGCATTAAAGGGTGCACTGCACACAACTCATATCCTTAAAGAACCTCACAGAGCATTCTAAAATAAAAAAGATAAATAAAACATCAACTCTGATGAAAACACAGCTTGACAAATTCCTCAACTTTGCCTAATTTCTTTGGGGAATCCATAGAGGAGAAAGAGGTGATTTGTATGGCTCTAATTGCACTCTTTCCTTTACAAAACATAATCATGAAGAAGCTCAGGACATTTTGTGAGTTCACCTTTGTATTAAGCCAGAGTCAGCTGACTCTGTTAAATTCCTTCCCCTGCTAGTAATCTCCCCTGCTAATAATCTCTAAGAAAACATATCTAGAAAGATGCTTGACACACAGTAGGTATTCAGTAGGTTAAGATGTAAATATCCCAAACTCAGAATAGAAAGAGCTATTCAGAAACCTTGTATTCAATTGTAATCTCGTGAGTTACCCTATCTACAAATACAATACAATTACAAGGGCATTTGAGGAACTTAACAGCTATCCAGCTGTGCTCTTTCATTTCTTTTTGTCATTCTTTTGAGTCACATTTTACTTTATCCTCCATCGCAGCCACATTCTCTTCTGTCATTTCTCAAGCTTGTGATTAGCTAGATGATCACAGGCAAAGTTTTGCAATCTCGTCTTTATTGTTTAGAGAAATCAGTGAAGGTGGAGTTTATTTTATAAGTAGATGAATTTGATAGATAGGTGCAAATGCGTAAGTGAAATGAGACCTAGAACAGAAGCCCCCAGTTAGAGGATGCCATCTGCACACATTACATTGATGTAGTCTCCCCATTTTCCCTGGCCAGAAATGGGATTTTGGTGGGAAGAGTGGGGAGCTGCCCTTATATCAGAATAAGTCATTTGCAAAAATAAGGAACATGAATCCGGGTGTCTAGAAGAGGAAGTCCTAGTGATTTTGCTGGCACATTTTCTTTTAAATTATACTTGCTCCTGTTAGAGCCAATATTTTTCTGCTATAAATGTGAATTTTGATTCTTGATGAATGACAGAAGAAAGAAACATATTTGACTTAGAAGGACATACATATCTGACAAAAGGAGAGGATTCTTTTTATTCTTGAGATGTTCTAAATTTGTCACCAAGATGGGGTTCATTCATCAAAATCCCCTATCAAGTGGCAGTTTCCCCATTTACCACGTGGATCTGACCACCTCCTGCTATCAGCTAGGGCAGAGATGGTGCTGGTAGGTGTGCTAACTAGCAGGTACTAAAGTTTCCTAGATGTCAGGGACTTAGCAAAGCACTCTATAAAAATGTTGCTTTTTCCGGCTGCTCATAAACCATGTGGATATTTTTTCATGCTCATTTTAGGCCTATTTTGATGTTAACTTCCCCTAAGGAAGTCACTCAGGAGGCAAGTGATAATACTTGAATTCATACTTTTGCCTTTTCTACTCATCACCCTTTCTCTGCCTTACTCAAAATTTCACCTTTTATAGTGCCTTTCATGATGATACATAGATTTCAAAAATAAGTGTGTTAACTGTACTTAAATTCCATGTGAGTGGAGCTGAAGCCAAAGCATATAGTACATTTCTTGGTGTCTCTAATAGAGTTTTTTTGAGTTTTTTTTTTAATTTTTCAAATTAATATGAGGGTACAATTTTTAGGTTACATTGTTCTCACTTCTAGGGTAAAGTTCCATTTGTAGAAGAGCTCCTCCCCAGAGAGCTCTTCTTCTCGCTCAGTGATTTCCCTCTGCCCCCGAACTGGAGTATACTAGTGTTTTATTGTTCTTATGAGCATGTAATTGTTTATATGTTGATTTCATATTAGTACAGAGTGCACTGGATATTTATTTTTCCATTCTCATGATACTTTACAAAGAAGAATGTATTTCAACTCCATCCAGGTAAATGATTTTGCTTTCAGTTGGCTTTCACTCATCTTAGTTTGAAGTTTTTTTTTTTTTTAATTGTTTTTTCTTTTCTTCCTTTAGCGATTCTCTTGCCCTTAGCTTCCCAAGTAGCTGGGACTACAGGAAACTGCCACAAAACCCAGCTTTTTTTTGGTAGGGATGGGAGTCTCACTCTGGCTCACTCTGGCTCAGGATGGTCTCGAATCTCTGAGCTCACGCAACCCACCTGCCTTGGCCTCCCAGAGCACTAGGACTACAGGCATGAGCCACCACACCCAGCCATCTCCATCTTTTTTAATGGCTGAATAATATTCTATGGCATTCTAATACAGTTTTGAATGTCATCTATGAAGGTGCACTAACGGGATACATTTTAGATCATGGATAACAGATACCTTTGTTTATTTTTTAAATTTGTTTCCTTTTGGGGGATTAAGTTTCTGCTGTATAACAGCATAATTTATAAATTATTCACCATCACTTATGTTTCTCAGGGAAGGAAATATAATACTTTAAACAAGTTTTTCCATTCAAACAGAATATTTCATCCTGACTAACCTGTTAGAGGGTGTAAGAAATTTATGCGTCAGTGTTTTAAATGATCATATGCTTATGCTTACTCCTCTGAAAAAGGGGTATCATTAATAAAAGAGAGTTTCCTTTTTCTTTTACCTTCTTTTTGACACAGATGTGATCTATACCTTGTTTCTTTACAAAGTGTTTGTTCTAGATTTCATAAGATAGCAAGAAAGCAGGAGAGCAGTGGAAGTATACAAGTATTTAAAATTCATAAAAGCACGAGAATGAGACTTTTGAAAAAATTCTTCATCCACGTTAATTTTAGTCAAGGAAGATGTGAATGATAGATACATATATGTTATATATATACCCATAATATTTTAAATGATTCTATTCGCTCAGTATCCAAAGAAAAATGGAATATAGAAAGTTTGTTAGTATTTAGCAGCAAAGCAGAACGTTAACTTAAAATTCTATTAAATGTCATTTATTTAACTGATTTGCCAGGAGAATTAGGAAAATTTTTTTTCAACCTTTGTGAATTATATACTTATTTTGGATTTCTTTTGCAGTCTTGCAAAGCCTTGTTTTAAGTCATTACACTTTTATTATAGTACACTTATCTAGTCAAATTGAATCTTAAAAAGCACTTTAGAAAGCCTACAAAACAATTCAATGTAGCACTGATTGATACATACGAGATTTTTTTCTAGGTGCTTTTCTTTCAGTTGAGTCATAAACCTCTTAAAGATGTTGACACTCTCAACTTACAAACTTAAAAAGGAAAAAGACAGAGAAAAGAAAAAACTCTATTGTACAGGGAATTAACAAATGCACAAGTCTGTACTAATGAGTCCAGATCGCAATTCTATGTTGATTTTGAAGTCAATATTTATATTTGAAACACTGATTACTTTAATGTTGAAAACAATAACTTTAAGTTTTTGAGAGAGAATACTGCTTTTTGTGGACAGTTGTCAACTAAATAGGATTTTTTAATTTGAATTAATGTTAGCATATTTTTACATGCTAAAATTGACTACTTTAGCAGAAAATTGCATTCATGGCCCACAGATGGTCTCACTATAAGTTTTTCTATAAGAAAGCACTTAATACTTGTAAAGATATCAATTATTAACTAGTAAAAATACCTACCACTGGGTGGCGCCTATGGCTCAAAGGAGTAGGGCACTGGCCCCATATGCCAGAGGTGGCGGGTTCAAACCCAGCCCCAGCCAAAAAGTGCAAAAAAAAAAAAAAAATACCTACCACTATAGCTGGGCATGCTTTCTTTCCTGTGAGGAGACATGGGGGTGAGGGATTTAGAGCAAACAAGGGGAGATGGTACAATGATTAATGCAAATTCAAGAAAATTCCCAGATTTTATGTTAGCTGTGTCTAGGTTTCTGCCTGGTCCAATATGTTTTTAAGAATTTCTGTGATGATTCCCCATACGTCCTTCCAAAAAGGTTGTTTTAGTTTGCAATGTTTGCAGCAGTGTAAAAGTGTCCAATTTGCCTAGCTTAATTTTGGAATTTCCTTTTATCTTGATCAATTTTGCCAATAAATCAATACTCAAGAAGCAGAGAGTTAAAGGTCACAAAAGGAGGAGAACATCTTCAAACTCTTCACCATGTTCTTGAAACAAATATCTGTCTAGGTCAGGGGTTCTCAACCTTCCTAATACTGTGACCCTTTATTACAGTTCCTCAGGTTGTGGTGACCCCCAACTATAAAATTATTTTCATTGCTACTTCATAACTGTAATTTTTCTACTGTTATGAATCATAATGTAAATGTCTGATATGCAGGAGACCCTCAAAGGGGTCACAACCCACAGGTTGAGAACCACTGGTCTAGGTAATACAAAGTTGTGATTAAATTCTTACTGATGGCTTCCTTATGAAAGGATTTGTTTAGTGAGTATTGGTGATAAATTTCATCTTTTTGTATTTCCTGGTTCTGGGGATTTGAATAAGTGAAAACAGGAATGCAAATATCAAAGAGAAGTAGCTTCCTCAACTGGAGAATCTTGACTGCATGCCACAGGGCACCAGGGTATCTTTATTAGAGAAGGCTCAAAACCCTGGAAGCACAAATTGCTGCAAACGTTTGAAATCTAAACATGTAAAAATAAAGCCAACCTTAGAAGCCACTTGGAGGGGCACTCTTTACTCACCACTGTGACGTTGAAAGCATAGAGGAGGTCAAAAGGCAGGGCAGCGATTAAGTCGATGATGAACCAGGTTGTGACATAGTGGATGCAAATCGATCTTGCTTCAAATATAACTTGGCCAGACTTGCTGACATAAGTTGTTCGGAAATTTAAAATAATATCTGCTTGGGAATAAAAGATTGGGAAAGGAAGGGAAGAGAGGAAGAAAAAAAAAGGAAGGAAGGAAGGATAAGAAAAGGAAGAGGAGAAAGAAGACAGAAAGGCAAGCAGGCAGAAAGGAAGGAAGAAAGAAAATTGAATAAAGTTAAATAAATCTAGGTAAATGGTAACCTAATCTACTTCAGATTGAAAATATCCAAAATACTCTGCTTGATAGATCCGTTGAACTCAACAACAGAAACTGAAGAAGGGTTAAGAAAGTAAAATTTCATGAACACTTAATATATTCCAAACAGAGAACAGGTGTTAATTAACATAAATGATCATAGCAATTATCATCATCATCATCACCATCACTTACTAAGTGCTGCCCATGTACTAGACCTCGCTCTAAGAGATCAGCATATGTTGTTTCCCCTAACCCTCAGGTTGTCTCCTAGATAGTGTTACTCCCACACTAGAGGCAGAAATGCCAGTGAGATAAAATAACTCATTGAAGATCACATTGACAGCAATGGCAGGACACTTTTAAGCACATATAATTTAAAGTCTATTTTCCTTATCTTATGCAAAACTACTTAATTCTGACTACAAAAGTTTTATTAATCTCTGGGCATATAGGGGATTCATCCTTGCCAGGAAGGCACTTTCATAATATGAAAGTACCAGCAATTTCTTGTTTAAATTTCTAGGTTAAATTTCCTCATATTTGAATGGAAGTTGTAATCATTTTCAACCTTTCCCAATATCATCCTTCAATTATATGTCATTGAGCTTTTTGCAATAGATGAGGTCCTCAAGAGTGATGGTCAAATGACAAGCCGTTGCCAAGTAGACCATTGTGAGCTCACTTTCCTGCTGCTTATGATTCAACACCTTTGAGACTACCCTTTTAGTTCCTGGGTTAAATGCCATTAAGGCATCGGAAAATACTACCTTTTTCTTAATTTAAGATTGAGAACAACCAGGCACAGGGAATTTTAGAACTGATGCTCACATGTAAAGATGATAATAGTTGAGCATTTAATAGACTGATGACTCCAACAGAGAGGGATGTTTCTTTGGAACTTTATTTTGGGGGCATTGCCATGGTTCAAGGGTCAAAAAAGGCAATGGGGGAAATAAATGTTCTCTTTGTCATGACACTAAGAATTCTAGGAGTTATGAAGTCCTTGCTAAGTCTAAGTTACATAATTATCAGATGAATTGGGATGCTCTTTACAGTGACTTTAAACCATTGAAAATAAGTAGAACAATGTTATATGAAGGTAAGAATTTGATGATGTCCAGGTGCAGTGGTGGGCTTCTACAGTTCCAGCTATTTACAAGGCTGAGGAAAGAGGATCATTTGAGCTCAGGAATTCAAGGATATAATAATGCTCTTTGACTGTGCTTGGTAATAGCCACTGCACTTTACTGCACTCTAGCCTGGGTAGCATAGTGAGACCCTGTCTCTAAAAAAAAAAAAAAAAATCAAACAAAATATAATATGTTGATATCCTGACTATGATGATCAGGACCATGAAAATGATAATGCTCACATTATATTTGTATAACATTTTAATTTTTCACTTCCTGTTCACGTTTGGGGAAGACAGAACTCTAAGATAAATCCTGATGACCTTTGCCCTCATATCTTCTCCTCTTGTGTGGATAAAAGCTGTGAGCATATTGAATGTCAATCATGATTAGATTATATGGCAAAAGGGAGAATTTTTCTGGGTTGTCTGACCCAATTTGGCAAGTTCCTTAAAAACAGGGAGTTTTCTTCAACTTCTGGCAGGGATTGGAAGTCAGTGAGACAGGTTTCTGCTGGCCCAGATGAAAGTCGCTGCCATTTTATGGAGAGGGCCACATAGCAGAGAACAGCAGGCTGACATCTACAAGAACATGGGGATCTTAATCCTACAACCACAAGAAAATGAGTTCTTCCAACAGCCACATGGGCTTGAAAGAGGGGATCCTGAGCTCTGGGAAGAAATGCAACTCTGCTGACACCTTATTTCAATATTTTAAATTCCTGAACGGAGAATTCAGCTAAGCCATCCCCGGATTACTGATCTATGGGAACTGGGCAAAAATAAACAGATAAGATTTAAAACTAAATTTGTGGTAATTTGCCATGCATCAATAAAAAGCTAATGCAACATTTATATGATTTGATTCTCCTTTAGCTTTGTGAGGTAAGAGAATTAAGAGTGGTGGCAAAACAGAATACTGTCTTTAGAGACAACACACAGGATATTAGTGGGAGCCCAGGATAGGTTTAAGCCCTTTGTGATCATAATTTCATTGACTCTGTACAACAACACTAAAAGGTAGTCATTTCTATTATCTCCTTTAACAGATGAGGAAACTGAGGCATAAATGAGGTCAAGTGACTTTCCCAGGGTCACACAGATGATAAAAATGAAGCACAGTATTAAATCTCTCAGTGAGGTGTGGAACAGCGAGATTTAAATCCCAGTCCCCTGATTTCTAATCCAGTGCTTTGTGTTTTGGTGCCTTAACAGAGACTACTCTCATCCCAGGGCTGGAAACAAGTTCTGGTGACACAAATAGGAAATACCCACCAACCCAGGAATGGATTAACAAGCTGTGGTATATGTAAACCACGGAATACTATTCAGTCATTAAAAGAGATGGAGACTTTACATCTTTTGTATTAACCTGGATGGAAGTGGAACACATTCTTCTCAGTGAAGCATCACAAGAATGGGGAAGCAAGAATCCAATGTATTTAATTCTAATATGAAGGCAGTAGATGAGCTAATACATGGTGGGAGGTAGGGGAATGAGGGAGAGGGGCGGAAGGAGGGGGTGGGGGTCATGGTGTATGGCACACCTCTTGGGGGTGGGACATGATTATAAGGGAGAATTCACCTAACAAATGCAATCAGTGCAACCTAATTCTTTGTACCCTCAATGAATCCTAAACAATGAAAAAAAAAAAAAAGAAAGAAAGAAAAAGAAAAAAAACTTGTAAAGTGAAGAAACAAAAAGAAATAAAAAGGAAATGAGCATTCTGGAGTACATTATGGCTGATTCAACTTTCAAACAGCACTGTTAGAAGCGTACTTTATCAAAAATATAGATTATTAATATTTAGGGTTTGAAAAGATGAAGCTAATGGATAAAGCATTTACTAGGATGATAAAAATCCCAGGTGATGGGTACTACCCAGCAGGTGGGGGACACAGGAGCAGCGGATGCCAGCAGCCTGAGAGGGTAACAGGGACACTTCGCATTCTGTAACTTTCTAGGTTATGCTCTTCTGCATTAGCAAAGCAATCTAACAGCTCAGATTACCAACTGAGATAAAGCAGGAGATTTTAATTTCATGGTTTCAAAAAGGAAGCTTAGGTGAAACATTTAGGTTTTTATTTTACAAGGGAGAAGTCCAGAGTTTGTTAGCAGACCCTTTAGTGATCTTTGGTTTCCATAACATAGCCTGAGATAAGTCCATAAACTCCTTATAAATTGAAGGGACACACTGCTAGGTATTTACTAACTGATCATCATGTCTGTCATTAATTTTACAGTAAACCTGCAGCCATCATCCACATAGCTGGGCCACTCCCATGAATGACAGAGTGAAGTGAATGGCGTGTGGTTGACTGATACAGCAAATGTCTTTAAACGTGGGTCATTAACCGTGTGGTTGACTAAGGAACAAAACAGAGATTGAGACTTCTGAATAGAATAGCTATTTTCTGGGATGAGCCATTATGAATATCAGTTTTAGAGAGCTTTTGAAAAATGATTTTTTAATTCAAATGAGTTTGTTGAATGAAAAGAAATATGCTAGATTTTGCTTTTAAAAGAAGTAATTATAAGACCCAAATACAGATAACAGTAAAGGAATAAATGATTTTTAGAAAGTCTATGCATACAAATTTATTTTGAAAATACCTGAATACTTTTAGATATTTTTCAGGGGAAAAATCTAGATATATATTATGTTCTAACATTCTAGGACTGTGGTACAACTGGTGTGCAAAGACCCAGTTCATCCAAACATTTATATATTATATAGTTTTTTTGATAGCTGATTTCAATACATAAAACTACTTTTGATGTCCAAATAAGAATAGACACAGGTCTGGTGTATTCACAAAACATCTTTTTCGAATTCATTAATTGCATGATTCCTATTGCCATCTCTCTCAGGTGGACTACTATCCCCATGTTACCAATGACTCAGAAGATTTAAGTAAATTGCTTCAAGTTATTCAGATAGTAAGCAACAGACACACAGGGTATCTTTTGACACTCAATTCTATTTTCTTTCCATTATCTTAATGATTGCTGAACTTCTAAATGTATTTTAGAGGAAATAACAATAGGTCAATGCAAGGAAATGCATTTCCGACTGTAGTCCTTAGATCACATTCAGTATCAGCACTGTCCAGGTAAAACAATATTAAATTAGTCAAAGAATTAAATGTTGGGAAATGAACTGTCTTTGATTCTGGAAATACAGTGACTGGACTCAGTCTCAGGGACAACTGAGAACTCACTCTGCTTTCCCTCCAGGGATAAGGAGGATGTAGTGATATTGTTCAAGAACCAGGAGAATGCAACATTTGTAAATATTCCCTTAAATAGAAGGGAGAGATAACTGATACTAGTTCTTTGAGAGTGAAGAAAGTACAGAATAAAATAAGATTGTGATGAGGAAGAAAAGAACGTTCTAGATCTGATGTTCCTCATGAGAAAATCACAGGAACAGAATAGAGTTTCACAGACACAGGATGTAGCTGCTTCTCCCATTGTGGCTGTTTTCCTTTAAGATTTTGGTATTTTTGGCTAATTAAACTAGCAACTTGGTCAACTATTACAATAAAAAAGTGGTCTCCTCTAGACAATCCATAATCCACCTGAAAGGGTGTTGTTTTCATTTCAAGATATCTAAAATGTATACGTAACAGAAATGTATTCACTAATATATAAATTTTATATGTCATTTTTCTCATTAACTCCATTTATTGCCAATTTGCAC